GTTCTCTCTCACCCCTGTGTGCTTGTTCTCCCTCCCCCTGAGTGCTTGTTCTCTCTCACCCCTGTGTGCTTGTTCTCTCTCCCCCTGTGTGCTTGTTCTCTCTCACCCCTGTGTGCTTGTTCTCTCTCACCCCTGTGTGCTTGTTCTCTCTCACCCCTGTGTGCTTGTTCTCCCTCCCCCTGTGTGCTTGTTCTCTCACCCTGTGTGCTTGTTCTCTCACCCTGTGTGCTTGTTCTCTCTCACCCCTGTGTGCTTGTTCTCTCTCACCCCTGTGTGCTTGTTCTCTCTCACCCCTGTGTGCTTGTTCTCTCTCACCCCTGTGTGCTTGTTCTCTCTCACCCCTGTGTGCTTGTTCTCTCTCACCCCTGTGTGCTTGTTCTCTCTCACCCCTGTGTGCTTGTTCTCTCTCACCCCTGAGTGCTTGTTCTCTCTCACCCCTGTGTGCTTGTTCTCTCTCACCCCTGTGTGCTTGTTCTCTCTCACCCCTGTGTGCTTGTTCTCTCTCACCCCTGTGTGCTTGTTCTCTCTCACCCCTGAGTGCTTGTTCACCCTCCCCCTGAGTGCTTGTTCTCTCTGTGTGTGCTTGTTCTCTCTCACCCCTGAGTGCTTGTTCTCTCTCACCCCTGAGTGCTTGTTCTCTCTCACCCCTGTGTGCTTGTTCACCCTCCCCCTGAATGCATAACTACCCAACCTTTCACTCCACTTTCTATTCTGTCTCTTCTTATATCTTCCCTTTCCAATACTGTACTACTCTCTCTCTCTCTCTCTCTCTCTCTCTCTCTCTCTCTCTCTCTCTCTCTCTCTCTCTCTCTCTCTCTCTCTCTCTCTCTCTCTCTCTCTCTCTCCATCTTTATCCCAATAAACACACAAAAAAAATGGTTTCGAACCTGGCACTTTGCATTCTCTCAAACACGAACCTAAGACCACAACATCCCTCACCCCTCTCCCCCCCCCCTCCCTTCATTCTCCCTCACCCTTCTTCTCACTGTCACAAGGAAAGTTCCTACGAGAAACGTCACATCCTCAGCCCACGACCTTGGGAGGAGAATTGCATCATGAAGAGCTTGTTAAGTCAGACGACGAGTGAATCAAGGAGGAGCAAGAGAGAGAGAGAGAGAGAGAGAGAGAGAGAGAGAGAGAGAGGAGAGAGAGAGAGAGAGAGAGAGAGAGAGAGAGAGAGAGAGAGGGAGAGGGAGAGAGAGAGAGGGGCGGAAAGTATAGGTGGTGCGAATGGAGTAGACAAGCGTAACATTAGAGAACATGAAGTAAATACGAGGAAAGGATATAGGGAGAGGAATGTGGAGGAGGAGAAGACGTGAAGTGGGAGGAGGGATGATGATGGGAGGGAAGGGAAGGGGAGATCAGTGTCAAGGGAGTGAGGAAAGGGTCAGTTTCCAGCCTTTGGTGTTCTGTGATATTCCCACCGGGAGAGGTCTCTCTCTCCCTCCCTCCCTCTCTCTCTCTCTCCCTCCCTCTCTCTCTCTCTCTCTCTCTCATACACACACACACTACCAGTTGATTGACAGTTGAGAGGCGGGACCAAAGAGCCAGAGCTCAACCCCCGCAAGCACAACTAGATGAGTACACCCCCATCCCCATCTCGTCAGACTCTCACCAAAACGACAACAATGGCGCTCTCCCAATCAATCATCCATATCAAACCTCTCACTCTCTCTCTCTCTCTCTCTCTCTCTCTCTCTCTCTCTCTCTCTCTCTCTCCTCTCTCACCGTGCCACCGGCCTCTCCCCCGCCATTACCCCTTTCAGGGGGTGACCCCTGGCCTCCCCTGAGGGATTAGCGCCCCCCGTGGACACAAGGGTGTGTTATTAAATGGCCAGCGTATTGGTCTGTCAGGAGTTATGGGCACGGAAGGTGGTGGTGGTGGTGTCTTTGTGTTGGCCGTGAAGCTGTGCCTTTGTTTGTGTTTGTTCGTAATGGGAGCCTAATGTTTGTCTTCTGAGAACGTGTATACACATATGTGTGTAATATTTATTTATATAAATAAAGTCTGACACTACCAGTTGATTGACAGTTGAAAGGCGGGACCAAAGAGCCAGAGCTCAACCCCCGTAGCTCTGCAAATATATATATATATAATATATAATATAATATATATAGTCCAAGGTGAGTATATCCACCGATTCAATGGGGGTCATCATGGGAGACAACTCATCTTTTAAGGGGAGCAATGGGGCCGATACCAGAAACAGTCCTCTGGGATTCCCCTCCGTAAAATATGCAGTGTTTTAGCAAAGACAAAAGCGTCACAACCTAACCAACTGGATTTGAAGATAATCAGAAGGCCCCCCATGATACCTTGATATAGAGGGGCTTTTAATTTCGCTAAACCACGGCAAGTTTTACGCCGGTCTCGATTGCGTAAATAATGTTAGTTCATTCGTTAAGAGGAGAGGTTGAAGACACGAACCAACCCATGATGGTCACACCCTTTGTTGCCCCTCATCGGTCACCCTGCAAAGTTGTGTGTGGGTATCGCCAAGCGTCTGATCTTCAACTTTGGGGAGAGAGAGAGAGAGAGAGAGAGAGAGAGAGAGAGAGAGAGAGAGAGAGAGAGAGAGAGAGAGAGAGAGAGAGAGAGAGAGAGAGAGAGATTTCATTTTTATTGAAATAGATTACTTTCCCCGTATGATATCGCATGCAATAGTCTCAATATGATATAATCTCATGTATGATATCATACACCAGTCTCTGGTGGAGTTGATGCAATTCTTCGTAATTAACTAAACAAACCTATGTCAATTATATTGTCATTTACGCATATAAATGTTCATTGACAATTAGCCTCGTTGCTGCAAGAACCACGAGAGAAAGTGCCCTGTATCGCCGCGCACACACGCACACACGCACACACGCACACACGCACACACGCACACACACACACCACACACACACACACACACACACACACACACACACACACACACACACATTTATATGTGTGTGTGTGTGTCCACCCAGGGCCTATCGTAGCCTGGTGGACAGCGCGCAGGACTCGTAATTCTGTGGCGCGGGTTCGATTCCCGCACCAGGCAGAAACAAATGGGCGAAGTTTCTTTCACCCTGAATGCCCCTGTTACCTAGCAGTAAATAGGTACCTGGGAGTTGGTCAGCTGTCACGGACTGCTTCCTGGGGTGTGTGTGTGGTGTGGAAAAAAAAGTAGTTAGTAAACAGTTGATTGACAGTTGAGAGGCGGGCCGAAAGAGCAAAGCTCAAGCCCCGCAAACACTACTAGGTGAATACACACACACACACACACGCACATACACACACACACACACAATGTATGCACAGGCAATATACCCAGACGAGAAAATATAATGTAAAGAAGATAGGTGTTGGGAGCAGGAGACCAGATACAAGGTATCATTTGGGAGATGAAATTCTTGAAGAATCAGAGAGAGAAAAAGTCTTGGGGTTGATATCACGCCAGACCTGTCCCCTGAAGCCCATATCAAGAGGATAACATCAGCGCCGTATGCCCGGTGCCAAGATAAGAACAACCTTTAGAAACTTGTGTAAGGAATCATTGAGAACCTTGTATACCACGTATGTCAGACCAATCCTGGAGTATGCAGCATCAGCATGGAGTCCATATCCCGGCAAGCATAAAACTAAATTGGAGAAAGTTCAGAAGTTGGTCACCAGACTGGTGCCCGAACTGAGGGGCATGAACTATAAGGAGAGGTTACGGGGATTAAACCTCACGTCGCTGGAAGACCGGAGAGTTAGGGGGGGGGGACATAATCACCACATACAAGATTCTCAGAGATACAGAACACTAAAGCAAAACTTAGAAGGGCCACGACGGACCACATCACCCACAAGTGACAGGAAGACAAGCGCTTGTTCCGGTCTATACAGATGAATTGTAAATACAAATGGTTTGATCGTGAACGTAAGCTGGCAAAGCCACTAAGTATAAGGAGCATAGAGAGGCACAGAATAACAGGAACATCAGCGAGCACAGGAAGACACCAGGGCACAAGTACCCAGTGTTAGAAGAGAAGCAGAGGCAGTACTGAGGTGAATGGGACGGAGTGAATTGGGACACATGAAAGCACTTAGATTAATATTGAATAATAATATCTAATTCCTTGAGAAATATTTTACAAAAATCAACATAGCAGCTGTTGTGGGCTAATATTTCCCGTATTACATACGTACATACGTACATACAAACATACATACATACATACATACATTCATACATACATACATACATACATACATACATACATACATACATACATACATACATACATACATACATACATGTATATTACGGATACATACACCTCGGTGCTTGTCCTGCCTGTAACCAAACTGTTATAATGAGCCATAGAGAGAGCTATCATTCGTGCACTAATAAGGTGCCATAGGTAAAGAGTGTGTTCGTACACTACATACCCAAACGACCTGTAACGACTCTAAGAAAGGAGGGTGGGGAGTCTAAATCACTCTAAGGGCCACAGTGACCCTCTTTCCCCCCCCCCACGTCTTCGACCACCCAGGAGCCTCCACTGTGTGAGGGTGGAAGTAGTGTTGGATACTTCTGTCGACTACTTTGAGAGTCGAGGGGGAAAACACGAGACAGTGTTGGGAGGCGGGGCTCTAGAGCTGGACCTGACATTCCGTAGCTCAGATATAAATAAGGTACACACATGTACCTCATATATGCAACCCTCAGTTATATAAGCACTTACCCCATACTTGAAACCAGTACCCACACTACCCGCCATCCCACACCTTCCCCCCACCCACACCTTCCCCCCAACCCATTCCTCCCTCCCCCCCACTTCATCCCCCCACTCCATTCCCCCCCCCCCTTCAACATCACAACAATCCCCCCCTCTTACAAGCTAATTTCTACACCACCCAAGCTTATAATATATAATAAAATAGCGATTACTGTATTATCAACATTATAAAATTGTTTTATTTTTCTAAGATTATTTGCTCTATTTGACCAACAATCCAGTAGCGTACACGCCCAGCCAGGCGGGTGAACGAGCTCGTCTAGAAGAGTAACGATCGTTAGACGCCAACCACCTCTCGGCTGTGGTTTTTCGAGTCGCTTGCTAAACGATAGCGACTGGACCCGACGGTGTTGAAGTGGGTGTTTAGCCTTCAGTGGGGAGCTGACTGGAGCTGTGGGCGGCCGGCGGGATGGACGACTTGCTTGGTTGACAGGTACGACCCGGCGGACACATTGGAGTCGTTGGTTCGACTCGCATATCCACGAGTGACGTTGGTTCGACGTTGAATCCACGTCCAACCAACGTTTAATTTTCGTTGTTTCGGGGATATTGTTTCTTTTCACTTGAGTTTTGAATTATGAGTTTCCAGAGGAAAGGTCATTATGAAGAGGGGGGGGTGTTAGGGCAGTAGGCCTATATAGCACTAGGGAGGGATATTAGGCCGAGGAAGGAACGGTGCCCAACCGCTTGGTCCCTTGGGGATCGAACGCCGACCTGCAAGAAAGGAAGCTGTGGTCATAGTGATCAGCCCAACAGTGGTTTGGTCAGTGAAGCCAGTCGCTAACTATCGTACTAAGATGGGTAGATAAGATGAATAATGTGATCTATTAAGGCAAATAAAATAGTTAAACAACTATACACGTTTAAGACGAGTCGTTATCACAAGGTTTCCGCTGTTCAGTTTAAGACGTGTTCACTGTACATGACGCACCTTGTTAAGCGATTCCGTTGTAACTTAGATTAGGGTTATATGTTATTAACAAGTGTCCCCTTTGACGTTAAGGGTTGGTGTCCTTCCTGGGAGGAAAGTACACCCACGGCTAACTATCCACTCACCCCACGGACAGGCACCATGGACCTGGGAAAAAAAACATGCGCTGAAACGACTAGAGGGGGGGGGGGGTGAGGGGGGCACCTAGCGAGTCGTTTCATGGCCCCGTGATTGGCAGTGTGACACCAAACCCCCACAGCAACCCCCTCCCCCCCCTCCCCTTCCCTCACACACCAGCATATCACACATCCCCCCCCCCCCACACACACACCAGTCCCTCCCACACCTGCCATCACAACAATCCATAACAACAGTCCCCCCACAACAACCCTGCACACCAAACCCCTCATACCAGCCGCCCCTTCCCCCACACACCAGCATCCCCCCTCCCACACACCTGCCATCCCCCCCTACACCTCCCGCCCCCCACACACACTCACTAGCCCCCCACACAAACGAGATTGGTCATCCTTTATCCTCCCTTAAGGGGAAGAGTCAGATATTATGTTATATACTCCCACTTTCCCCCTCATATTTGGACAGTGTTATGTATCTACCTAATCCAATTGGCTATTAATATACTCTTATGTTAAGATATCTATATATATATATATATATATATATATATATATATATATATATATATATATATATATATATATATTTATTTAATCTATCCTAGCTCTGCTCTTCTCTCTTTCTTAAATATTTCTCTCTCTCCATTTTTATGCAGCTCTTCCCTCTACGTATCTCGCCTTTTCTCTCCCCCCCCCCCTTCGTAACAGTCTCTCTCTCTCTCTCTCTCTCTCTCTCTCCTATTTTCCCTAACCCTTTCTCTCTACTACTGCCTCTCTCTCTCTCGTCCTCTCCCCTCTCCCACGCTCCCCTCACTGCCGGGTGAAAGGCTGATTGGCCCCTCGTGGACACTGGTCAACAAACACAAGGGGAGTAGCCCTGGTGTGTGTGTGTCTCTCTCTCTCTGTGGACGAGGGGAAATATTTGTTTGTGTGTGTGTGTGTGTGTGTGTGTGTGTGTGTGTGTGTGTGTGTGTGTGTAAGTTTGGGAATTTGCAAATGCTTTTGCGTTCGTGGGTGAGCTCTCGTGTGTGTGTGTGTGTGTGTGTTGAAGCTGTCAATCACAGGGAAATGCTGCGATTGACGGCTTCAAATCAATTTAATCAAGAATTGCTTCATCTTCAAGAATCTGTGTCGATGTTTAGCAGACACTGTACCCCGGGTGTATCAGTCTTATCCGTGTACAGGAGTCTACAGCCAGCCTGTAGGCTCATATTCCAGTCACAGTCGGTGTATAATATAACCCAGTCGGCCTCCACCAGTCTCGAAGGATTTTTCGCAGCGAAGCAGAGAAATCGGTGTATGGGATTTGTTGGTGAGCAGCTTCCCGCCGACCTCCATTAAAAATCCTTCCACAGTATCCACTCAAATGGGTCGGCCTCCACGTACGAAAAAAACGAAACGAAAGTCCACATCGTTGTGTATGGGTTTTCAACCCTTCACGAAAGCGTTCGGAATTTAGTTTCATTTTTTTTTCTTATGCGGATACTTTCACGTCAGTGAATTGCGTGTTTTTTGTGGTTGTTCTTGTAGCTTCTTCCTCGTAGCTCGGTTCCTTCGGTTCTGGAACGAATTTTGTTGCAAATATTGGATATTTATTAGCTTTTAATTTGTAATTGTTATCATGCTGGAGCTGCATACTGAAGAATGAGTCTTACGTAGGTTGTACTAAGCGTTAAGAAGGCAACGTTGCACGACGTTTTTAAGGTCATCTGCACCCTGCCGGCCTCCACCACTCCACAGTCGGTGTATTGAGTCGGATCTCCACCACTCCACAGTCGGTGTATGGAGTCGGCCTCCACCAGTCCACAGTCGGTGTATGGAGTCGGCCTCCACCAGTCCACAGTCGGTGTATGGAGTCGGCCTCCACCACTCCACAGTCGGTGTATGGAGTCGGCCTCCACCACTCCACAGTCGGTGTATGGAGTCGGCCTCCACCACTCCACAGTCGGTGTATGGAGTCGGCCTCCACCACTCCACAGTCGGTGTATGGAGTCGGCCTCCACCACTCCACAGTCCGTGTATGGAGTCGGCCTCCACCACTCCACAGTCCGTGTATGGAGTCGGCTCCCCCACTCCACAGTCCGTGTATGGAGTCGGCCTCCACCACTCCACAGTCCGTGTATGGAGTCGGCCTCCACCACTCCACAGTCCGTGTATGGAGTCGGCCTCCACCACTCCACAGTCCGTGTATGGAGTCGGCCTCGACTCTACATCTCTAGTTCATTCCACTTCTTAAATCCACTTGTGCCAATATCTACCCCACACTGTACCCCGCCTGTATCTGTCACACGCGGGTACAGAAGTCTACAGCCCGCCTGTAGGCTCATATTCCACTCCTCGTCTTGCATAATATAACCCACTCAGCCTTGACGAGTCTCGAAGGATTTTTCGCAGCGAAGCAGAGAAATCGGTGTTTCTGATTTGTTGGTGAGCAGCTTCCCGCCGACCTTTATTAAAAAATCCGTCTCAATATCCACTCAAATGCGTAGGTATCCACGTACGAAAAAACGAAACGAAAGTTCCGAACGTGTTTTTTGGTTTCAACACCTTCACGAAAGCGTTCGGAATTTTAGTTTCATTTTTTTTTCTTATGCGGATACTTTCACGTCACTGAATTGCGTGTTTTTTGTGGTTGTTCTTGTAGCTTCTTCCTCGTAGCTCGGTTCCTTCGGTTCTGGAACGAATTTTGTTGCAAATATTTGGATATTTATTAGTTTTAATTTGTAATTGTTATCATGCTGGAGCTGCATACTGAAGAATGAGTCTTACGTAGGTTGTACTAAGCGTTAAGAAGGCAACGTTGCACGACGTTTTTAAAGGTCATCTGCACCCTGCCGGCGACCTTCCGCCTCTGATATATTTTCATTTAGATCTCCACCCCTAAGTCTATTTACATAACATTGCATTTGTCTCCATTAAAGTCCAGAAGCCATATGTTTTGCTGTGTCAGTTTTCCCAGGTTTAGATTCTTATCATGAAGTTTCCACCACCTGAATGTGTGTGTGTGTGTGTGTGTGTGTGTGTGTGTGTGTGTGTGTGTGTGTGTGTGTGTGTGTGTGTGTGTGTGTGTTGTGTGTTGTTACTAGTTGTGTTTACTAGTTGTGTTTACTAGTTGTGTTTTTGCAGGGGGTGAGCTTTGCTCTTTCCGCCGCCTCTCAACTGTCAATCAACTGTTTACTAACTACTTTTTTTTTTTTTTTTTTTTTTTTTTTTTTTTTTTTCTCCCACAACACACCCACCCACATGTGTGCGCGCGTGTGCACGTGTGCGCCCGCTGGTTCCTCGTGTGTTTGTTAGGTCAGTAGTGAGTTTTCGTTTGTTTATCGTGTTCGTAGAAGGAACACGATAAGATGATGAAGAAACGGAAATGGAAGAGGAAATATAATTGTCATCTTTTTATAAAACAATTATTCTAATTTTCAATCATTTTTATTTTTAATAGTTAGCATTTATAGTATAACATATATTTGTAATTATCTAATCATAATTGTATTACTTAAAGGATACAATAATAATAAGACTGAAATATAGTTCAGTTATCGAGAAATGTCTTGTAATACGAGATTGTTCGATATCTCGCGCGATAACTCTGCCAAATGGCAATTCCTGAATTCCTGTAATGTACATTTCTTAATTTTCATAACTATAGCATCAGCTGCACGCGTTTTCCCGCGCTAAGTGGCCGTTCCCTCATTTGAATATTGGCGCGTAATTATTCCCGCCAAGTCTCCCAGCTGCGTCCGTTTCGTTGCCGCCAGTTCATTGATGTTATGAATACATTATGGAGGGTAATTTATATTCAAGCCAGTAGCTAATTGCTATTCATTCAAATTAATACTCGCTTCAAAACGACAATGCATTGGAAATGTATATATATTCAGATGAGCAATAAGTTGGATTTTTTCCCCGTTATATTTTCTCCGGGCCGTGGAAACGAACACGCGGAAGAAACGATAATGGCTCCTAGTCACAAGTCGTTGATTTCCAAGCTTGGCGCGCGCCTGCCGTCCTTCTTGGAGAGTGTCTCGGCTGATGATGGATGGAGGCAGGCCCGGGAGCCCGTAGCATGCGTCCCCTGTATTTACACTCATCCGGAAAGGCTGTCCTTTTACTGTCATGGCGACAGACTAATGGACGCAGCGACTGACGATGTCATCATCGCGGCAGTTTTGGCGGGAAATTGACGTGACAGGAAGGGTGGGGGTGTCTATGGAGGATAGACGGGATAATAGTTAACTAGGGGGAGTGGATTACTGAGAGGGGGGTGGATATTGCGGTGTATGGGTGGATAGTACTTCCAGAGGCATAGACAGAGCTGTGACGATAGGATGGGTAATGTTGGCCAATGCCGTATTGGCAATGGAT